CACACACACACACACACACACGCACACACACACACGCACACTCACACACACACAGACACCCCCCCCACACACACACACACATAAACACACATACACACACACTCACACACAGAAACACTCACAAACACCCACACACACACAAACACACAAACACACACACAGACACACACACATAAACACACACACACTCACACACACACCCACACCCACACACACACATAAACACACACACATACCCACACCCACACATAAACACCCACGAACACACCCACACACACACATAAACACTCACAAACACACACAAATGCACACTCACACACACGTTTTTTTTATGTTTTCTGGGGACACTCCATAGGCATAATTAATTTGTATTGTACAAACACCTACCCATCACACAAAAATCTCTGCATATGCTTACATTTTTTATGAAATATTGGTTGTAAGTATTTTAATTATGAGGACTCAACAAATATCCTCATAAACACATTTACGTTGTTATATCAGTGTAATATATGTCATTATAAAAATGTGCGTCCATATAAACAAGAACACACATACATAAACATTTTGAGCTAAATAGACTTATCTATATTTTAAATAATATGGTAATACAATATATGACATCATAGTAACATGTTACTGAAGCAAAATTATACATTTAAACATATATTCAACATTTATTTAAGTTTATTGAACTTATTAAACACACTATTCTCTTCTTTTAAAGAAGATGGTAGCACATAAAACTGTAATTATATATAACACGCCGTATAAAATAAACATTTAATATAATTTTAGGTCATATGTGTGTGTGTGTGTGTGTGTGTGTGTGTGTGTGTGTGTGTGTGTGTGTGTGTGTACCTGTCATCTCGCAAACTGACTTCCCAAGGTATTTGGATTCCGTTTTTGTTGTGACAAGGAACAATAAATATGAAAAATGATGCCTCACATTTTTTAGATTGCTAAGAGATAGAACTTTACACAACAATGTCCAAACATGGCTGAGTGATTTGCAAAATAAATAAATACTAATTTTAATTTGAATCATAACCAAAACCTCGCAGGTTCTCCCCGGGGTAATCCCCAATGTGAAACTGATGGACCCGCACATAGAAGGGTTGGTGAGGGAGGAGTTAGACCAGATGATCTAAGATGTTATTCTGTTAACCTTTTTTTCCAAACCAAATGTTATGGCTGTGTTAATAATGATTTCAAAGCCTAATCTGAAAGGGGTTCTCCCTGACATGCTGCTTCAACACTAACTGCAGTTACTGAAACCACGCCTTCTTTCTTTGCGTGCACATTTGGGCGCATTATGCAAATATTTCCACATAGTGAGGTAGATATGTGGGGGCGTGTTAGAATGAGCCGTTTTAGGGGGGCGTGGCAGAGTCTTAACTTTGATCAAGAATATCTCTTTGGTTTTGAGACTTTAGTCTTTGCAACTTCAGGGATCTTATCTATGCACAATCAGCTTGTAACACTCCAAAGACAAAGGAAAACTTGAAATCGCACCATATGACCCCTTTAAGACTTTACATAAACATTTGGTAGAATCCTGTGGTTTTTTTGCTTACATTAAGTGTCATCTTCAATGTTTTATTCCCCCCACACATGTGATGAAACATTTAATCAATAGCTTTCTGTATGTTTAAAAATAAAACTAGAAATAGTTTTCTTGTTGTAAATGGATGCGAAGGAGCCTGTTTGCTTGTCACAGCGCAAACGCGACTCACCCATGTCACCTCAAACAACGTCTCAAATATTTAGATGAAGTTAATGTATATTTTAGAAAACTATTTTCAGAGAAAGACCCTCGATTCTATTCAGTCATTAAAGATGGTTCGGGACAGACAGGTTTATGCCTCTGTGGCACCATACATTTTAGGAATGCTTCACATATGGAGTTTGATTTAGCTGATGTTTGTATGTAATTCAAGAACTTTGACCTTTAATGCCATTAGGCTATGTTATGCTTCATTTAAAAAAGTTTGTATAAACACAAAATGTGATTTCCCATATGGAACAAATCTAGCCGTGAAATCGTCATTATTTGGCTTTTGCTATGGTCGTGAACTTTACACACCTCTGATATTTTCAGACACAGAACAGAAGAGTCATTTTGCAGGCTGGAGTTTGATTTAGCTGATGTTTGTATGTAATTCAAGAACTTTGACCTTTAATGCCATTAGGCTATGTTATGCTTCATTTAAAAAAGTTTGTATAAACACAAAATGTGATTTCCCATATGGAACAAATCTAGCCGTGAAATCGTCATTATTTGGCTTTTGCTATGGTCGTGAACTTTACACACCTCTGATATTTTCAGACACAGAACAGAAGAGTCATTTTGCAGGCTCTCTGTCACTGTTCAAAAAATAACTCTATTTAAAAGCAAAGAGCTAATTCAAGTCATGTACGAATTATCAGTCTATCGAACTAGCACCTATACATCTACCGGCAGTGATTATATTTTATATATTTTATGTTAAAAGTATCGTCTCGGTTATGTATGTAACCCTCGTTCCCTGAAGGAGGGAACGGAGACGTCTATCACAGCTATGCAGATGATACCCAGATTTACCTAGCCTTATCTCCAAATGACTACAGCCCCATTGACTCCCTCTGCCAATGCATTGATGAAATTAACAGTTGGATGTGCGAGAACTTTCTTCAGTTAAACAAAGAAAAAACCGAAGTCATTGCATTTGGAAACAAGGATGAAGTTCTCAAGGTGAATGCATACCTTGACTCTAGGGGTCTAATAACTAAAAATCAAGTCAGGAATCTTGGTGTGATTCTGGAGACAGACCTTAGTTTCAGTAGTCATGTCAAAGCTGTAACTAAATCCGCATACTATCATCTCAAAAACATTGCAAGAATTAGAGGTTTTGTTTCCAGTCAAGACTTGGAGAAACTTGTTCATGCCTTTATCACCAGCAGGGTGGACTATTGTAATGGTCTCCTCACCGGCCTTCCCAAGAAGACCATTAGACAGCTGCAGCTCATCCAGAACGCTGCTGCCAGAATTCTGACTAGAACCAGAAAATCTGAGCATATCACACCAGTCCTCAGGTCCTTACACTGGCTTCCAGTTATATTTAGGATTGATTTTAAAGTACTTTTACTCGTTTATAAATCACTCAATGGCCTAGGACCTAAATACATAGCAGATATGTTCACTGATTATAAACCTAACAGACCACTCAGATCATTAGGATCGAGTCAGTTAGAAATACCAAGAGTTCACACAAAACAAGGGGAGTCTGCTTTTAGTTATTATGCCACCCGCAGCTGGCATCAGCTTCCAGAAGAGATCAGATGTGCTAAACATTAGCCACATTTAAATCCAGACTCAAAACTATTTAGCAGTGCATTTACTGAATGAGCACTGTGCAATGTCCGAAACTGATTGCACTGTATTTTATGTATAACCATTTTTTATTCTTAACTGTTTTAATTCATTTTAAATCAATTTTTAAATTATTTTAAATATTTTTTTAATTCCTTGTTTTACTGTTGTGATTATTATTATTTTTTATGATTATTTTACTTCCTTTTATGTAAAGCACTCTGAATTACCATTTTGTATGAAATGTGCTATATAAATAAACATGCCCTGCCTTGCCTATAGTCCTAGTCATCCTAAATACTAGTTACGGTCAATGAGATACCACTTTGGGTCATGAAGCACCCTGTTTAACACAACACACATTCTCCAGATTGGATTCATTATTTCATGATGAAGACAGACTGAATATTCAGATACCAGATGAGACTGTTTGACTTTCGTTCTTAAGACAAAGACAGTTGTTTGATTTCAAGAACACACAACCAAATCCTAATGCTATTTCACGAAATAACACAACAACGGCTGATCCGTTACAACATGTACATGTCAAGTCTGTTTTTATCATAGGTATATCTTATTATTCTTCAATATAATTGTTTAGTCTAAATATGTGTTAACAATTCTTTTCTTTTTTCTTCTTAACAAACAAGTTAAATTTAACACGTCTAACTAATACCTCATTCAAACGCTACAGACTTCTAGGTCAGGGAACTACAAATTCCAGCATAAACCTCAGACTTCAGACATGGCCGCCGGGGCAACACCCCAGAATACTCATACAGGGCAGCGGCAGGGCAGTCTAAATATTATATAAAATATACGCACGCTCAGATACCCTATATAAAAAGACTCACATCTCCGCACTATTTGTGAAGTATACAGTCCTTTCCTGTGGCAATTTTACAATTTGGTGATGTTAGTGATGCAAAGTCCGATTAATTTTCGTGAACCGATTCTTTAGGGGAGTTTGGGTCAATGAACCTCTTCAAAGAACAGATTAGTCAGTGAATGAAACATTCAAATAACGTTATCTGTGTGAACGCATATTGCTGATTATTGTCTTTTGTTCATTTTAGTTAATGATGTTTATGGTTGCATTTTTATGCATTGAACCTTCATGCTGGATACGAGTCACGACTGACCAATTTTGACTAGCCTTCCCATAAAAAACGCAGATATGTTCTACATGTATAAAGTATAAGTCTATAGAAAGAATAAAGCATACTAATAAACTCATTGATTTAGCTTAACAACTTTAAAATATAATCTGCATGCACGATAAACCATACACTCTTAAAATTGATAGTACACAAAATATGTGTAAAAGGACTGATAACACATTAATGCGATGTTTTGGTTTGTGTCTTACACAACTGTGTGTTACTAAACAATTTTTTATTAAGTTTTAATATAAAAGATAATAGTTTGTTTACAATTTAGATGTTTTTATTTTTAAATCACACAAAGAACCATTGTTTGTTAACACATTATTAATTGAAATAATACTATGTGTTCATTTCTGGTCTGTCTACGAAGCTGCCACGAGACACAAGGTCTCAATCGTACTATTTCTCTGTTACATGCTAACCCTAACCCTAACCCTAAGCATTTGGAACTCCCTTGGCAAAGGGAATGACTGACCAAATGTTACCTTGACAACGCTGCGCGTGCGTGTAGCATTCAGCACTCCATCAGTTGTTGCAAATAAATATTTCTTATTATTATTATTATTATTTTATTCAAATATTGTCTAATTGTTTCTTATTTACTATTAAATGTGTTCAAACTAAACTTGCTTACACTGCCATCTTAAATCATATTTCTATCACTGACGAAAAATATGTTGTCTTACATTAAAATAGAACAATTTAATTAGCCTATTCTATTTACGTTTGTATGTGAACTCGAAATCAACCCCAACTTTGCTTTAAAAAGCATCACAAGATCTCCTAACCGAAGATCACATGATCACAAATGGAAATCACTTCCGTGAAGTGAACATCGCAAAGGGATTCAGTTGTTCACTTTCGTTTGGAACGTCCCTACAAATGGCGTCCCCTTCCCGAAGTGCTCTTCAAGGGCGCAAAAAAAGTAATGCTCTGCACCCTTTAAAGAACACACTTCAAGGGCTCTGCCCTTTGAAGGGAGTAGGGCATAGGGATCCTCACTTCCATTTCGAATTCGCCCAACGAGCATTCGATTATCCTGCCGTAAAACCTGTCGTTTGAGGCAGCAACATTTTAATTTGTAAAGAGCGCATCAGTCAGCGCAGGCTTTGCTGCTCACGGTCACTGGACTCGCTGCTCGGGATGGAGATGAAAATTAGGGATGGGCGATACCTCTTATTTTATTTTCAATCCGATACCGACATTTTCAAACCCAGTATCGTCAATATCGATACCGCTAAACTAAACTAAACTGATCTTTTAAATTATTGAAAGAATGTAATCTGTAATTATACTCACATAATATTCTATTTTAAAGCCATGTTTTTTTTTTTTTTACATTTTTATAGGCCTTTTTTGTTTACACTGTCAGAAATAAAATATACTATAATTATAGTTTAGCCTTTTACTGGGGTAGTAACCTCAAAGGTGCAACTATACCCCTAAAAGGGAGCATTTTAGTACCATACAAGTATACAGGTGCATATCAATAAATTAGAATGTTGTGGAAAAGTTCATTTATTTCGACACTTCATTTCCAGAGATATCGTTGACTTGATTGCAAATGATTGCAAAGATACTATTTAAACTGAACTGAGCTGGATGATGACATCACTGAATTCAATGATGAACTGTCTTTAACTGAAAAATTTGTGTTTACTATTGTCATTTTGCATTATTGACACACTATTTTCCTAATTAATGCTGTTCAGTTGCTTTGACACAATCTGTATTGTTAAAAGCGCTATATAAATAAAGGTGACTTGACTTGACTATCTCAACAAATCAGAATATGGTGACATGCCAATTAGCCACCATGGTAAATTTGTGGTTACTGCAGTTTTACTACAAATACTGTGGTAAACTGTGGTTACTGTAATAAAACCATGGTTAATGTTTGTAAAAGGCTGCCAGGCTGTTGTACCCCGAAAGGTGAAACTTTAGCATATAACACAATCCATTTGAACTTTTAATAACCAGTTTAAATAAATTTACTTGCACAAACTAGCCAATTTAAAATAAATATTACATGTACACAAAAGTTTGGGTTCAGCAAGATTTTGTAATATTTTTTTTTAAGTCTCATGCTCACCAAGGCTGCACTTATTTGAACAAAAAAACAAACAGTAAAAGCAGAAATATTGTGAAATATAACAATTAAAAATAATTATTTTCTATTTTAATATATTTTAAAATGTAATTTAAAATGCATCTGTGATCAAAACTGAATTTTCAACATCATTACTCCAGTCTTCAGTCACATGATCCTTCAGAAATCATTTTAATATAATTTGCTGCTCAATAAACATTTATTATTATTGCTGCTTCATATTTGTGTGGAAACCTTGATGCATTTTTCAGAATTAATTTTATATATAGTAACAATGTTATGTAATGTAATGT